CATTACATTGGATTGAGAATGATTATATATAAAGGCCCCCAGAACACTTCATCTCAATGTCTGGTTGCAGGGCCCCTGCCAATTTAGCCCTGCAATCTAAAACATTGCAGTTTTGTAGGATTTTCATTGAAAGAATACACACACCTCTAGTGGCTGTCTTCCTGACAGCCACCAGAAGAGCTTCTGTTGATCATAGAGCAATTTGCTGTGCATGCGCACAAGCCTCTAAGTGCTTCCCTATGATATCAGCCAGGGAAAGGGTGGCAGCGCTGAAACGAAGGGTACCGTGAGTAGAAAGGTAAATAAAAAGGCTTTTTGTTATTCTGAACAGGTGATGGGGCATTCACCTAAATTGTTAGTAGGACACTATAGGGTTAGGAATACAGGTTTGTTCCTTTAAATCAGGAGTTAATTAAAGGACCACTATAGGCACCCAGACCACTTCAGCTTAATGAGGTGGTCTGGGTGCCAGGTCCAACTAGCTTTAACCCTTTTTTCTATAAACATAGCAGTTTCAGAGAAACTGCTATGTTTATAAATGGGTTAATCCAGCCTCTAGTGCTGTCTCATTGACAGCCGCTAGAGGGCTTCCGTGCTTCTCACTGTGATTTTCACAGTGAGAAGATGCCAGCGTCCATAGGAAAGCATTGAGAATGCTTTCCTATGGACTGGCTGAATGCGCGCGTGGCTCCTGCCGCGCATGCGCATTCAGCTGAAGAGGAGGAGAGGAGGCGGAGAGGAGGAGAGCTCCCCGCCCGGCGCTGGAGAAAGAGGTAAGATTAACCCCTTCCTCCCCCCAGGGTGGGGGCACCCTCAGGGGGTGGGGGCACCTTCAGGGCACAATAGTGCAAGGAAAATGAGTATGTTTTCCTGGCACTATAGTGGTCCTTTAACCTCACCAGGGCTGAAATTTCACCCATTGGCAAGTGGAAATATTGAGTCCTGGTGTAATCAGCGCAATGTGTTCCCACTCATAAGGCACTTGGTCAAACTTAATCAACAATAGGATCCAGACCAATTCCATTGTCACAAGAAATTCTATCTCAGCGATGACAGCACAGAGAGAGGCTGGATATTGCTGCCTAAAATAACATTTCACAATGGTTTTATGGATAGTTTTATGGATAGCGCCAAGTTATAAATTCAATTTTACCCTCTTAAAAATAAAACCATCACACTACAACATTTGCTCACATTATTTAAAGGGACACTATAGTCACCTAGACCACTTCAGCTCAATTAAGTGGTCTGGGTGCCAGGTTCCCCAGGTTTTAACCCTTCAAATGTAAACATAGCAGTTTTCAGAGAATGTTTACATTGTTTACACTGCAGGGTAAATCCAGCCTCTAGAGACTGTCTTCCTGACAGCACTAGAGGCGCTTCTGCTTTCCTAAGGACTGTTTGAATGCGCTTGCGGCTCTTGCCTCGGGAGCTGACGTCAGCGGGGGAGGAGAGGTCGCCAGCGCCGAGGGAGCCCAGCGCTGGATTAAGGTAAGTAACTGAAGTTTGTTTTCCTTACACTATAGTGACCCTTCATAAACGTGCCTGTTACATATGTAGAGTGCGAACACTGAATATACTTGCTTTATATTCAAACATAATATTCTAGAATCTATTTTGCTTCCATTACATTGAAATATTCCACGGCATAATTTACTAATCTAACCCATGCCGTTAGACTTTAATTAGGTAATTATATAAAAGCTGGTAAACGCAATTACTTATTATTTCATGTTTTTAAATTACAATTATCACATTTATTTTAATGTATATTTGCATTCATAGTTTTATTTGATTTTACACATTATTTATATAATAAGAATATATAATTAATAGAAAAGGCATACAAACACATAAAATGTCTAAAACAAATCTCGCTTAACCATATTTCTTACCTGGTGCCTCGCTTGACCTCAAAATATATTAGAACATATGGTACCAGCACTTTGCTCTACAGGTAAGAAAAACAGTACTGATAAAAAGGGTTGGTTTTTTTTGCAATATTGACTATGTGCCTTTGTAATATATATATATTATTTTCCTATTTAGAGTAACAATTGTCATATATTAGATCATGATTGCCACCTAGTGTTTCTTTGTATTTAGAATGATATACTATTAAATAACTTTACTCTGCATTAAATCCCCAGATGTTGCCATTACAGTATTTTAAAAGAAATTATGGTTTAATACATTGACATTCTGATGAGTACCCATCCTTCCCTATAATGTTACAACAATTCTACTTCTATCTCTTAAATCATACAAGGTGTTTACTTGTTGCCAATAATTCAGTTATATCAATCACTATTCTTAATAGTTTTATCTAAACAGGGCCACTTTTGCATACCTCCCGATTGCCACATTTAGGAGGGACAGTCCCTATTTTGTGCTCAAATTAAACTGTCCCTGTTTTCTATTCTTTTTTTTTATAAAAGCAACAGTTCATAATGTGCGGTATCATCACATAGACCTCATTCCTAAGCTTTCAATGTCCCCCGAGTCTGAAGTCCCACTGAGCATGTATGGGCCGTCGGGGAGGAGCCTGTCCCTTCACCCATAGAGGGAGAGGGCCCTGTTTTCTATTCTAATGTCATCTTTTCCAGGAGCTCCATATTGCTGGTGTGTTTAACAGAGCTCCACAGCAATAATACTCACAGTAATGTGTCTTTAAACTACAATAAATGTGTGTTTATTCATCTGTGTACACAAAATACAGTGTTCTTGTTCTAAATACATTTTAGTTACAAAAATTGTTATTAGTAAGTCACCAATATTTTATCAGAACACCCCTGCCCGTGCCCACACACCCCATTCACACCCCTAAATTTAAAGTGCCCATTTAGAATGTTGGAAGAAATGCTTTTGTTTTGGCAGAACACAGCATATGCAGAAGTCAAAGTTTGGAAATACATACAAGCATACCATCCTTTATTGAGAAGTGCTCCGCCCATGCTCCTCCCCCGTCGATGGCTGCGAGCGCATTAGACCTCCCCATTGCAGCACTAAGTGCAAAGGGTCACAGCACCCAGACTACTTCAATTAGCTGAAGTGGTCTGGGTGTCTACAGTGTCCCTTTAAGGGATTAATGAACTTTATGGTTTCTGGCCTAAAGATCTAACATGGATTTATACACGCAATATTTATACACACAACACATTAAAAAAAGCGGGCTAATACTAGGTGTGGGCTAGGTGTGGGCTGGTATGGGGGGGGGGGAGGGAGCACTGGTATAGAAAGGTTTGTGGGATGGTGCACAGCACAGTACTAAATATATTATGTAACTATATTGTTTTTTTATAGTTAAATTCAGTTATTGCAGTGTTAGTGTCAAAAATATATAATTATATATTATAATTAAGGTGTGTGAAGAAGACTGTAACATTTCAGTAACCATATAGGATTGCTTTCAGCCTGTCCTTCCTGACATCCCTCCTTTTGCAGACGTACCTGAAGGAGGATTAGGCTGCAGGGAGAAGTTGGCCTCTGGCTCTGGATGCCAGCAAAGGTTATTGTAACCAAAAACAGTGTTTCAGTAAAGCACAGATTTTTTTTGGTTGGAGTAACCATGTAAGTGTTCGGTTCTATTTAAAGCTGTGGCATTTAAAGGAACACAATGAGCACCATAACAACTTCATAAAAATAAAGTTTTTAATGTGCCAGGAGATCATCGGTGCTGGCTAATCTTCAGGGCTTATACTGTTTAACTTCTGTCTGGCACGGTTCGGTAGCTTCCCATTCACCAAATGGCTTGCGAAAAAATACATATATTTTTCTTTTAATGGGGAGATACTGCTAGGCTGAGTGCATCAGCTGACTTTCTTAGCCTATCAGCAGCTCCCAGTTCAAAGGGGAGGGGTTAACTATTTATATTACTGAAGGTAAGCAGGTAATGCCTGGGATTTCTACATTTAGTTTTATTTTCAAACCTTGCAAATAAATATTTGTTAACTATAGGGATAAGTAACCACAATTACTGGACCTTTAACTTGGACCCTTAAAGGGACATTCCAGGCACCCAGACCACTTCTGCCCATTGGAGTGGTCTGGTTGCCAACTCCCACCACCCTTAACCCTGTACGTGTAATTATTACAGTTTTTAATATTTTTTTAAGTCTATTGGACAGCCACTAGAGGGACTTCAGTGTTCTTAGAACACGAAAAGTGTCTTAAACGACGCTGGACGTCCTCACGCTATGTATTGAATAACGCTTTCCTATGGGGAGGTCTAATGCGCGTGCATTGCCGCACATTTTGTCTCCCTCCCCCGGCTGATGTCGGGGGAGGAGCATGGGCAGAGCCTGACCCAGCGCTGAGGGACATCGGCGCTGGATTCAGGTAAGTCACTGAAGGGGTTTTAACCCCTTCAGCAACATAAGATGGGGGGTGGGAGGGAGTCTGGCACTGCATGGTCCTGCAGTGCCAGGAAAGCGGATATGTTTTCCAGGCACTGGAGAGTCCCTTTAACTCATCCTAGCTCAGGTATTTCTTTTAAAACTTCACTTTTAGTAAATTATTTAAATTAGGTGTGTGTTGTTGCTGCACAGACAAATTGTGGTAGTTCAAGTATTGTTACCTGAGTTTACTTTTGAACTTTGGTAAAACCACAGTGTATTGTGAACAAAACCTTTTTTAGTAAGGTCAGTCTATTCTTTCTCAAAAGCAATTCATTTGCTTTTACCATCACACTGCTCCTCAAATCTGTAAAACTCAGATGAAATAAGAGCACGATACTGTCAAATACTGCAGTACACACATTCTCAGTGTCTGCCAGGAACGCATTCCTTTCCGCATCAGCAGATTTTTTTTTACTCCACCATCTAAAAATCATCGGAAGAGTCTCTTGCAAACTCAGGTCTTCAAAGGAACGTAAGAAATAGGAAATCTGAAAGGAGTCAACATTTTAACATCATAATCTATTTATTTTTAGCACAAGCAATAACTCCTTTTACAAAAAAAATGTCATGCTCAGGAGAAGTTTGTGTAAATAGATAATTCGGCCTAGTTCTTTCATCAGAAGAATAACTATGAGTCTACGGTCTACCATGCTGGAACATTTTTGGAAATTATCAGTTAAGAACTTTCATGTTTGGGAGAAGGAGGTCCAACGTTGTGAGGGAGTAAACTCTAAACGATTTCTAAAAGGTTTGCACATTATTTACAATATGTATTTGTCTATAATACACATTTAACCAAAATGTGCCTGGCATAAGGACTCTTATCGAATGGTATGCCCATCACTAGATGCACACCAGAAACAGACTGGAAAAAGATAGAAAACCGAGCACGGGATAGGAAGATGGTGACCGAATAAAGTACCATCAGGAAGATTAGCATTGTCAAAAAGTAAAGCCAATTACAGGGTTCCAGAACTACACATGAATGAGAGAAGACAGGTCAAGGAATCCAGAGAGTAGAACAGTCAACTAACAGAGATAAAAGCTAAATTTCTCAATATTTAAGGAATGGGCGGACGGCTGTTACAACCATACAAACGTGACAAGCAGCATAAAGAGCAGGTTTAGAAAGAGAACAGAAATAGAGAACAGTAGGGTCATCTGCATGCAGCATTTTGGCACCCAACAATACGTGTTTGCAGATGACACATCAGATCTAGAACATTCAGATTACGTCAGATAGGGATTGCGCTAAAAAGGCTGAATGGATGTATCAGACTTTAGAATTGATGTTGGAAAGTGGCATTATATGAGAGAGCTTGGATAATTCATAATAGAGAATCAAGGAAAAGTAAGTCGATGGATTCTCCCCTGTCCCTCTGAGTTTGTTTGAATTTAAACCCCTTATATAGTTATAGCACCATATTCAAAAACATCTTCAGATCTAAAATACCTTAAAACTTAAGGAGGTTTTTTTTTTAACATTTTGAATAGCAGGAAATTATGATTATTAACAGACAGACTACAATTCAAAGAATTAATGGGAATACAGAACAACTGGGTTTTGTCTGAACATTTACGGTAATAATTATTCTTCAAAGCATCGTGCTATAATAATAATAATTCTTACTGCAATAATAATAATAAGGTGATAATAAGGAATGTTCTGAATGTACCCTGACAAACGCGGTTTATTAAATTAGAAGACAAAGCCCTGTTTTTCCCTTTACAAAGCATAAAAGCATTAATTAATAGATGTTCTGTTGAAAATGCTGTTTAATCCATCACAGTCTATTTTATTAGTAAATGTTCCAAGGAAGAATACCAGTCGAACAGTCATACCTCATCTCATGTCTCAATACACAGCCACGAAGCGCATGACAGTGGAAATAATGAAAGGTGAAGGAGTAAGGAGTAATTGAGCATTTCATCGTTTGCTGTCCCTTAGGACATGAGTTAGGCACTTTAAGAATTAGTGTTATTTATTAAGGAATGAATAGTGGCAGTGCTTAACCATAACTAGGAATTATTAATAGGGTTATTTACACACACAAACTGGACGGCAGGAATATTAAATATTGCATGTTCCATTGATTCCGAATGGTATATTTTAAAAAAATAACCCTGGCTTACTTTCTATGACATGAACAACGATAAAAAGGTGCGCGAATCGACAGAGAGAGGTACAGCAGCAGAACCTTTAACCCTGGTTCTCTTGGAACCGTAACCACTATTTTTTTTAACTGAATAGAAAATGAGCTTAAAATGTTCAACCTATCTCAAATTATCGCTCAGTCTAAAAACCATGCCACAAAAAACTTTAAAAACATGAATAAGAAATACATTTTCCACTTTTTACCATTTTCTTCCACATTTTTTTCCTACAGAGCACCGCAATTATGGAATAACCTCAGGTACACAGTCAAATCTTCATTCAATTTAAAATCTTTAAAGAGATCTATGGCAATATACCTCAATACAGAACGCTCCTGCCATGGTTGAATATATTTATTACCGGTTATATGTTAAATTTATATATGTGTGTATATATTGTTTGTATATTGTATTTTTATTTTTTTTATTTTTATTTTTCAAAATGCAGAGTTAATGACACAAGGCAAAATTGGTGAATAACATAATAGTTGGTATACACGTAAATGACAAGATATGCTGCACTTTGTTGTTTTTTTCCGTAGTAGTAGAAAGCATAACAAGAGTGTAAGCATTATTGTCTTGAAAGGCAAAGCAGGACATTTGTGTTGAACTGACAATATTTTGATTTAAACATACAAGGTTCCTAGTACATAGCGCATATAAACAAGATCGGTGAGCTGTCAGGTCTTAGTGTATATTGTATTTTTTGTAATATTGTATCATGTATCCATCCTACCTAAAATATTTTATAAATAAATAATTTACACCAACCACATTATTCATATTATTTTTTTCCTCACTCAGATTTATTCAAAGAGTGAATGATCAGGAATTAAAAAACGCTAAAATCAAAACAAAATTAAAGTGGAGGGGTTTTTTTGCACCTTCACTATCTGAGGACTTTGCAGAAATTGCAAAGACCCCCAAAGGTGACATCCCAGCTGGGGGTGGCAGGGAAAGGTGTGTTCTACACATTTGAACCTGCTGCCACCTTCCTCTGGCATGTCTTCTTTAGCTCCTGTTGCTTTAGTGTCAGAGCCGACGGCACATGCATGAGAATACAGCATTGAGGTCTATGGAGGATCCACTGACACAGCCAGTTCCCGGACATCGAGGTCCATAGAGGATCCACTGACACAGCCAGTTGCCTAGCATTGAAGTCTATGGGGATCCAATGACACACCCAGTTCCCTAGCACTGAGGTCTATAGAGGATCCCCTGACACAGCCAGTTCCCTAGCATTGAGGTATATGGAGGATCCACTGACACAGCCAGTTCCCTAGCATTGAGGTCTATGGAGGATCCACTGACACAGCCAGTTCCCTAGCATTGAGGTCTATAGAGGATCCACTGACACAGCCAGTTCCCGGGCATTGAGGTCTATGGAGGATCCACTGACACAGCCAGTTCCCTAGCATTGAGGTCTATGGAGGATCCACTGACACAGCCAGTTCCCTAGCATTGAGGTCTATAGAGGATCCACTGACTCAGCCAGTTCCTAGCATTGAGGTCTATAGAGGATCCACTGACACAGCCAGTTCCCTAGCATTGAGGTCTATAGAGGATCCACTGACACAGCCAGTTCCCTAGCATTGAGGTCTATAGAGGATCCCCTGACACAGCCAGTTCCCTAGCATTGAGGTATATGGAGGATCCACTGACACAGCCAGTTCCCTAGCATTGAGGTCTATAGAGGATCCACTGACACAGCCAGTTCCCGGGCATTGAGGTCTATGGAGGATCCACTGACACAGCCAGTTCCCTAGCATTGAGGTCTATGGAGGATCCACTGACACAGCCAGTTCCCTAGCATTGAGGTCTATAGAGGATCCACTGACTCAGCCAGTTCCTAGCATTGAGGTCTATGGAGGATCCACTGACACAGCCAGTTCCTAGCATTGAGGTCTATAGAGGATCCACTGACTCAGCCAGTTCCTAGCATTGAGGTCTATAGAGGATCCACTGACACAGCCAGTTCCCTAGAATTGAGGTCTATAGAGGATCCACTGACACAGCCAGTTCCCTAGCATTGAGGTCTATGGAGGATCCACGGACACAGCCAATTCTCTGCATCTGTCAGAGGTGATGGCTGGTGGGATTGACACTGTAGCTCTGCCAGACATAGTCAGACATAGGAAAAATACATGAGGCAAAGCACTCCCTTTGTTGTCTTATGTTTTTAGTTAAAAATAGATTTTAAAAAAATATATAAAAGAAAGACAGTGCAGGAAAGAGAGGAGGAAGCGATTGGGAAAAGGTAAGTACAATGTCACGGTTCCACTTTGAAATGTACGTTTCTCCTAATGATACGAGTGTGGCAGGGACAATCTGACGATTGGTTAGCATACACCTAGTATTGCTAATACCTCACCTTCTCATTCGTCCTACCTGGAGCAAAAGAGGCGATGAGGTGTCTCAGGAAGTGCAAGGTAATGGGCCAGATACTAAACAAAACATAGGCACGTTTCTATGAATTTGAGAGGAAAGCACAGGGAAAAAAATAACCTTCTAAACAACTTTAGAAATGATGTTGTCCCTGGAAATTTATGTATCCAATTTGCCTCGACATGTTTTAGAAAACAATAACAGCTAAATAATGTTTGCATTGGTTTTGTACTGAATTTATTATAATACCTTTTTGCAAATACTAAAGTTGTAATTTCATTCTAACTTTTCAGCATACTGATGATACATTTGATATACACTAGTTCTAGTTATACAAATTAAATATTATTCTATCTTGTAAAAAGCTGGTATTGTGATGTGTGAAATATATCACTTAAGTATTATCAAAGACTAGAATATGAATACAGTTTTGTTACTTTTATTGACTTACACATACTCTGCATATGTAAAGCTAATATCTTGTTTCCTTAGAACCTTAAAGGAACACTATAGGGTCAGCAATACAAACTTGTAATCCTGACCCAATAGTGTTAAAAACACTATTTGATGACCATTCTCCCCTTTACCCCCCTTAAATAGGATAAAAACTCAATTTTATTGCAGCACTGCGTGTGTCTACTGGCGCTGGCTACGTCCTTTTGGCTGAGATCATGAGAATTGAACTGATAGGAAAGTATTGGATTGGCTGAAATTGTCAGTTGTGATGATGAGGTGGGGGGGCAGAGCCTATAACCGCCCTGGCCAATCAGCATCTCCTCATAGAGATGCATCGATTCAATCCATCTCTATGAGGAATGTTCAGCATCTCCAGGCTGCTGAATGTCAATGCTGCACACTGTGCAGCACTAAGGCAGGAAGCACCTCTAGTCACAGAGAAGTGGCTACTAGAGAAGTTCCTAGGCATCAATGTGAACACTGCCTTTACGCTAAAAAGTGTTACTCGAGTATAAGACTAGGGTGGGAAATGCAGCAGCAACTGGTAAATTTCTAAATAAAATTAGATCCCAATAAAATTACATTAATTGAATATTTATTTACAGTGTGTGTATATAATGAATGCAGTGTGTGTGTGTGTTTGTGTGTAGTGTGTGTATATAATGAATGCAGAATTTGTGTGTGTGTGTATAATGCAGTGTGTGTTTGTGTATATATACACACACATACTCTGCATGATATACACACACACTCTGCATTATATACACACACACTCTGCATTATATACACACACACTCTGCATTATATACACACACACTCTG